CGCTGCGCTGCAACCACCGGGACGCCAGCATGCTGGGCTCGCTGGCCTACAACGTGCTGCTCATCGCGCTCTGCACGCTCTACGCCTTCAAGACCCGCAAGTGCCCCGAGAACTTCAACGAGGCCAAGTTCATCGGCTTCACCATGTACACCACCTGCATCATCTGGCTGGCCTTCCTGCCCATCTTCTACGTCACCTCCAGCGACTACCGGGTGAGCTGCCCCCGCGGAGGCTGGGGTGGGGCCCCGGGCCTCCTGTTTCCTGGATCTCGGTTCACCTTCTGACAACACGGAGGCTCCCACAGCTTAAACGCTCCCCGGCGGCCCACAGTTTGTGGTGGCCCAGCTGGGACTGGACCCCGAGGAAGGTGGGAAGGCTGAGGGGGGCCTGGGGAATCGGCCCGGGAGGCGGAGGAGTGAGAGGGACTCGAGGACCCATCCCCTGGTCGGGGAGGGGCGGGGGACGGGGGTGCGAATTGTGTCCAATGAGCAGAGGCTCTGCCCTGCTCCGCTGAGGTTGGCTGAAGAGGGGAGACCCCGGCTCTGTTCGGGGGGCGGGGGCTCCGGGGCTAGTGGGTGAGCAGGGGATTGATGACAGAGACAAGTCAGGAAATGCTGCCGCCCGGGGTAGGTTGACAAAGGCCCCGGTGAAAATGCAGAGAGAGAGGGAGAGAGAAACATGGATGGTTACCTCCCATATGCGCCCAACCGGGGACTGAACCCGCAACCTGGGTATGAGCCCTGGATGGGAATGGAACCCGCCACTTTGTGGTGTATGGGACGACGCTCCAACAGCGCCAACTGAGCCAACCTGCCCGGGCAGGAAAAGCTTCGTGGAGGAGGAGTCTGCGAGGGGGGCGCTGATTGGAGCAGAGGGTGGGCACTGCCCCCGCGTCCAGGAGGGAGGCACACACACACGGCGGGCAGGGAGGCAGAGGTGCAGGTGGAGACCTGGAGTGAGGAGGAGGGCCAGGGAGCACGCAGCTCCAGAGGGTGCCATCTCCGATGCCCCCGGAGCCGTGCAGTGAGGCGTGGTGCCCCCTGGGCTGTGTCCCTCTGGGTTGAGAGATGAAACCAGGGGAGGCAGGGAAGGAGAAGCAGAGAGGGGGCAGGGGCCGGGGCCGGGCATGGGCTGAGGGGGGCACAGCAGGTGGACCCCAGGTGGTGGCTTCCGGCTTCGGAGGGGCTCAGGGCGGCCTGTCTGCAGAGGCCACAGGGAGCTGCTCTGAGTGGGAAAAGGGTCGTCTCGGCGACTCCTCAGCTGGAGTGAACCCCGTGGCTCTCCCGTTTTACAGACGCAGACACGGACCCTCAGGGAGGTTCAGTCCCTGCCTGAGGGCACTCAGCTTGCGAGTGTAGAGCAGGGTCTGAACTGACAACCTTAACAGTTAAAGGAGCAGGAAACCAAGGCCAGAGCCCCTGCAAAGGCCCTTCCCCCGGCACAGAGGTACGGTGGGCGGTGCTGGGGGCCAGGGTCTGCTGGGCTTGGCTGCTGTGCACCTGCTGGGCCACCTGCCTGGGAGGTGGAGGCAGGGCTGGGAGGGAATGGCTCTCACTCAGCCCACATTTGCATAGGATTTGCATGCTCATCACAGGTGGCTGAGGACTCACCTGAGACACAGAGTATTCACACATGCATCGGTATACACACATGCATGTATTTCCACACTCACACACATGTGCACACCTCAGTACACCTGGCACACACCCACCTCGTCCCACCTGCACCTGCACACACTCCCCACCCCCTACATACACGTGCCCAACAGATACACATGCACTTACACACACGCCCTCCATACCTGCGTCCCTCTACACACGTGAGCACACACAAGTGCACACACGCTCCCACGTGCACATGCTCCCCTGCATGATCACCTCATGGCTGGTACCTTGGCTCCCTGGGCAGATGGCCCACTGGGGCCGATGCTGGCTGTGCCCAGCCTTCCCAGAAACCCTCCGGGGCTTGGCGAACGGGCCCAGGCCCAGTGCTGGACGCTTACCCTCTCGCCCACTCCCTGCCCCGCAGCCTC